TATAAAGAAATTGACTGAGCATTTTATCTTATGAATAAACATTTCGATTGGAACAACAATGGAGTATAAACAAGTTATCCTTATTATAATTAATACATAAATACATTTATTTTTACTTTATAAAATGATTAATATGTACAATTAAACGTAATACATTTTTTAAATATGCTTTTGTATTTTTTTACCATTAGGTTTCTACGGAAATCGTATATATAGAAAAATATAAATACATATATAAATCGTATAATATAAGAATCCATAATAACAATTAATGTCTGACCTGCTATGGCGGGAATCAATCGGAAATATAATGTTGATTAAAAAGTTTTGCATTAATTAATATGCGTTGAACTAAAAATTTAATTTTTTTCCATATAATTGTCAGGGTGCAAAAAGTAAAAAATGAACAGTTGAATAACTATCATACACATAATTCCCAATTTTACGGTAACTAAATTTATATTGTTATCACAGCGCAATCTTTTAAATTATACAGTATAATTTATCTGTATGACATATTATAGGTATATTTTATGTTTACTAATAATCATGAAACTAACATTCGCGTACCTCTATTAAGTTTAATTCTACTACTTCTCATATTAAAAAAATATACACATTGACAACAGACATGAACAATTCAGTGTAGTTTCGTTTTTTACACTAAATCAACTAAATTCGACTATCATCTTTCGTTAAACATTCAATCACATAAGTGGGTAGTGTACAACTGTATTTTATTTGCGAACATATTTTGATGACCCTTGCAGGCATAATTCAAAAGATTTAAACTTGTATACTGAATATAGTAATAGTGTACATCTCTATCTAAAAAGTAAATGTATCTCCAAGATGTATTAATTTTTACCTACAATATTCCCACGTGATGCATTTTAAAACAAATGCAATACTAATTAAACGAAAAACATCCAGTAAAAAAGATATAATACATATTTTGTGTGATAACTTTTTTTTATAATTTTTGTGTTCATTTTAATAGTTTTTAGATAATAATTTTTATAGAAAATCAATACTTGCAAATGTTCCGCATAATCTCAACACTTACTTATATTACATGATTCGTGTGGAGTAAAAAATTTGAATTTTTATGTGAAACTTCTAAATTATTATCATTTCTGATACTATCTCTGATCAATCGGAGTAAACTATAAGAACATGATATCAATAATCAAAATAATAATAACGAATTAATGTCAAAACCAGAACTAGTTTTCGTGATGACAATATGATATAGAAACTTGAGAGGCAATAAATTCAAGTTTTCAAATAAATACTCTAAACAATAAATTATAAGTTTATACGTATATGTGTAAAATATTAGTAAAATTGTATTCAAGGACGAGTAAGAAGAGGGTTTTTCACTTACAAACATTTTCTCAATTAACTATGTAAAACTTCTCTTGGTAAGTCTAAAACTTTATCACATACAATCATATTTCTACATCTCACCACTATATACATATAATCATATGATAATTATATACGTCTATTACGTCTTAAAATCAGTCATTAATTTAGAATTTTTCAATATCAAAAATAAAACCCGATTGAGATATTTGTAATCAAGATAATGGTAAAATCGATATGTATAAATAATAAATGAAGAAGCAATTAAATCTAAACATTACAACGTATATTACATGTGACACAGTGTATAACATCAAACGTAATATTAATTTCGTTTTTTAATTGAAATTACATTATTATTGGTGTTGGAGCTAATCCTGTATTTTCATAATGTGATTCCAACACTTTTTCTTTAAAAAAATCATACAAAAAAGCAAAACATGTTCGTCAAAAAAATATTCATGATATGAATTACATTAGGTACTGTTATAAAAAAAATATAACACAATAATTGGTAACGAAATTCCATAAACTGATTCAAATGCAGTGTAATGATCATTAATTACACAATGGCATATATGCTATAGTTAATTTTCAAATTAAAAATCTAAAAAAAAAAATTTGAAATAAGTATCTGAATAATCGATTTGACTGTTTATAGTAAAAATGGGAAACTGGGCAACCGGCAGCAATTAACTGGCAAAAATTCTATAAATTGGCACTCTAATTACTTTGAATACCTAACCCTGGTTTTAAATATACAATTTAAAAGACTACATAAGTAGACAATTGTTTTCTCTAAAATATTATCGATTACGATTTTCTTAAATATGTAAAATGTTATGTTTAATCGAATTCGTTTTGAGACTATAATATGAAATATATTTTCTGCACCACTCTCTAAAGAAAAAAATAAGGAAATAAGGTGAGTCCACAAAGGTCCGATATTCCGAGTAAATAAAAGAAAATTCTATTTTCATGATCAAAGTGAATTACAGATTTCTCATTTTCTAGAATCCTTGCGTATTTTATCATCGCTGAATTATTCATACAATTTAGTATGTATCTGAAAACAAAATCCTTATTTTCAACGTTTTTAGTCCGATAATTATTAAAATATATCAGTATTATAGGAATTGTATTTGTATAAAAAATGGCTAAAACTAACTGAAGTGATGATAGTTAAAGTCAGTTATATTATTTTTCTTATGAACATATTAATTATTTCACTATTTAACAATAACCAATAAAATTATTAAAATAAGTAGGTAAGTACTATATTATACTCAATTTATCACTGGTAAGTAATATAAAAGCATTACTAAAGTAACTAATTATTTATCGTAGAATAATAATACACAACAAACTATAATCGAGTTAAAACGCACCAGTATTCAATTTACTCGAATTTCAAATATTATTTGATATAAGTAAAATACAATTTTAATGTAAATATACATTAAAAACTCAATTTTTCAACTTAAATTATTTCGGTGAACATTTTTTTTTTCGTGATTTATTCCCTAGTAATTTTATCAGTTAATTATACACATTATTTTAAGTTAGCGCTAATTTTGATATTATACTTACACTATGGTTAGCTTTTTTTTTTTTGTTAATATTTTTCATAGACGTAAACATATTGACACTAGAGGTTCATGGTTTATATTCTATAATATAAATATTTGTCTCGTATTTCCTATTAACTTATGCAATTACAGATAAATGCATAATTACATGATTACTTTACCGTCAGTATTATATAAAATTATGATACACAATAATATAATATTCCATAGCTGCAATTACTTGAATCCGACAAAGTTGTAAAGAAAAAACAATTTTAAATTATTTTCCACCAAAAGATTTTACGAAATCTCTGACGTTTATATTACACAATACTAAAATTGTTCGTACTCATGACTTGTATGCGTACTTTTAATTCAGTAACAAGCGATTTCCTGTTAAATAAAATAGTTATAACTTAAAATAGTACCTAACGTATATTATAGCCAATTAAAAAACTACCATAATGTTTTATGTTTTTTTTTTAAATTTTACTTATTTTTAAAGTCTGAGTCATTAGCGCTTTACACCTTTTTTAATTAGCTCCTCATGAAAATTAGGCAAAATAATACATTATGTTGGAACAAGATATAACATTTTTATATTAAACTTTTAGCTAAAAGCATTATACTCAAGATTCTAATTTCACCAATATATTAGTACTATCGCAATCATAATGTACTAGTATATTAGGTTAATATTTAAAATTATTTCTTAAAATAAAATAAATAAATAAACATGGTCTACGTGTCATCTAAACTTTATCAGTGTACCTTTTTGTTCTATGATACGAAATATTGAAAAACTTTTATACACCATGGTAAATTCGTGAAGTATAATTTATTATGTCATGATGAGTTCAATTGAATTGATAAAACTTATTATTATTTCGATAAGCGGCGGTACATGTATCCGTTTTTTTTTTTTTTTTTTATTTCTATTTTATCATTTTGTACATAATCCAATTTCTTTGACACAAATTTATAAAACGTATATTTATAATTCTATTAAGAAATATCGAAGTGAGGATATAAATGTGTATTATAAAAATACAAGAAGAATAATATTAAATGCATGCAATCATACATAATATTATTTTATGTAAGCACGGGGTACATGCAGCTTTTGTAAAGATCAATATCGTCAACGTTCTACCAAAAAAACTAAATAATTGTTGATCAAATATAGAATACAAAAAAAATTTAAATAATTCAAAATAACTACCTATTATAATAAAATTAATTTTATAATTATGTAAATCAACAAAAATACTACCCAAGCTAGAATAGAAAATAAAAACATAAATCTATAAAATATATTTTTTGTACCTGTTTCTCATTTTTATTTGCTTAAAATGTATATAAACATTTTTTGAATACAAAACTAATTTTCCAAAAGTGTTATACTATACTATCACTGATTAAATAAAATAATTATAAATGTATTCAAATTAATATTATATTCATATAATATATGATAGTATCAAAAATGATCAAATGGAATTCATTTTAAAGTAAAAACTGTAATATTATACATTTTTTCTTCTTATTTTATTAAATATTATGAAGTTAATAAATTGAAAACCTGAAAATGTCATTAGTTTTTTTATTTATAATTGTCATTATATAGTTTAAAAAAAACTAAATTATAATATATTATATATTAGCATATGGCATCGACATAACAATTACAATTATAATGAGCATATAGGATGCACAATATTTGTGCTGATATTTTTAATTTCATGACAAAGTTCTTAAAATTTGTTTTAACATAATTTATTGTTTACACGTTCACGTAAAATATGCCATAACATTTTAATTGTAGATTTCTCATTACACTCATCACTAATTTAAATTAATTCTGATAAAAAAAAATTTCCCTCAGATTCGTTTTTTGTACAATAATTTACCACTGCTTTTACGTTATAATTAAATATTAAACCTGTTTAAAGAAGGTTATAGTATTATTAAGTTTTTAAATTCTACATAGTGTGGTAAAAATACATTAATAGTACAATTTATTTGTTTAACTTATCATTAGATTTTGAATAGTTAAAATCTTACTTGTTTTTAGTTTGTTTTGTAGTGAGAGTATGAAGTGAAGATGATTCTGATTGCATTTTCTATCTGTAAAATTAATAATAATTACACTTAAATAAAAATCCGTAAATTATAAATAATAAAATAATTAATCGTAAAACATTAATTTTACATAAACATTCTTATTACACAACTTTTTTTATAGTAAATATTATATTTTACACCTAAATTTAATCAATACATCAAAATTATCATGAAATGGATATTAATATATTTTGAGCCATGTTCGTTTTAAATGTATTTTTATAATTGATAAAATGTAATCAAATCTACTTGTAACTAAATGATATTCGTAAGACATACATAGAAAACGAAATCAAACAATAGAGATGTATAAATAAATGTAATAATACCTGCAGAATCGGTTTATTTATTAGCTTTGAAAAAAAGTAAGAACTTTATTTTACTTGATCATGGTTGAAAATAAGTGTATTGTTATGTATATGTTCCTAAAATAATATAAATACATTATAACTCTTTAGTATATTGAAACATTGCAAATTGTGATACGCTAACCATATAACTTGTTTAACAAAATCAAACAAAACTGTACGTCAGAGCATTTATTATGAATGTAGAAATCAACGTGATTAATTACTATCAATATTCTTTTTATAATGTTATAAAAAAATTATAAAACCTTTTTCTTTAAATCAAACGTTTCATATTGGAATTTGTATTATGTAAACGTATAGTGTTCCGGACACATCGCTTATTAAAAATTCTATTCCGTATATTTAATGTATAGTTAGTTACATATTATTTTTCTATATTAATCATGTTTAATATATAGTCATAATATAAGTATTTAACTTATTAAAATAAGTATATAGTTTTTTAATTATTATTTTTTTTTACAGTAAAAAACGTGTTTACAATAATTTACCGACTCGAAGAGATGTACCTCTAACTGCCTACGTTAAATCATTGTGACTGCTCATGCAACAAAGATGACACTGTTACACAAGTAAATAAGAAGACGAGGTTTACACGCGTAAAAAGAAATAAAGAAAATATAGGTTAGATGATGAATATTATTATCAAATACATCCAAAAAATCGTGTTCTTCCAGCTCCGTATCCGCTCATATGCATACGAAAACTTATTGAAACAATAAACAACAATAATCCGTACGCAAGTGTAAATATTCTACATATATATATATATATATATAGGTATATTTCACTTTCACTGAAACAAGATGAATGTTTTTGAGCTCAAGTCAGGAAAAGCAATAGGTACTGTAAGCGGAGTATAAGAAGAAAATATAAAATGTCCGAATTTACTTTAGGGTTTGTTGCCACAAGTGCGGCGGCCTCTCCGTATAGTAATACAACAATGATCAACTTATGGGTTCACACGCACGTACCCAGGCACACTATATATATACGAGTATAGACAGGTGCGTGTGTCTACGTGTGTATATTTATACGGTTCATGTATGTATCTTGCCTCCACGTTACTTTAGAATATTATTGAAATTTTTTTTTCAGTCCCAATACAACGGCGAAGACCGAACGTGGTAAATCGAATTTTGTAGCCGTCAAACAAGGTATTCGTCACGTTTTTCACCTGTACACGGTTCGGCATTTCAATAGAAAAAACGTTTTCGCCGTTTACCAAGCACAAAAAGGCGGAAATTTCAATATCAATCTGTAAACAAAAATCGAAATCAATCCATCAGCAATACACATGTTTATGCGTTACTGCGTTGACTGCACATTTCAAAACATCACCACCACTACCACCTCCACCATCATAACACCACGTATATACGAGGAGGTTAGCAAATTCGCACTATATTAAATACGCAATTATTGGAGGAAAAAATATATATGAAGTGTACAACAGCATTTTAAATCGAATACTTTTTTTTTCTTTTATGAAACAAAAGCAAAATTAAAATTTCGAATTGAGTAATAAATTCCATTATGAAGTATCATATTTATGTGTGTGTGTTGAATAACAGTTACTGCTACATGCTTATTTACGTGAATAATAATAATGATTCGAGTACTATCGCGTTACAAAAAGTAATTTATACTAAAAGAAGTTTTAAAAAAATAAATTCACATATAATAGAAAAGTTAAACAATAATCAGGGGGTTTTGCTTTCGTAAACGTGTAGTTTAGTATTTGTACTTGAGACGAATATTTGAACAAAACAATCGTTATTTAAATGTATACAATGCATAAACGTAAAATAATTCCCTTTCACACATGTATTTTCAAAAATATCTCATACGCTTAGAATATTATATTGTTACTATATTTAGTTTTTTTTTTATTTAATTATATAACATAAGTAAAATGTCATATACATGGTTCCAACAAATGCACTTCAATTTAATTTAATGTTTTTATGTATCTATATATATATATATATATATACTAAAATATGTAATTTGTATACATTTTAAATGTTAAGCAATATATTGTGTCAAATGATTTTATTTAAATGTATGGGAGGAATGGAGCAACTATAATATTTTCATTTAAGTTTAAGAAACACAAGTTCAGTAGTTATTACTATACATACTCAATCATCAAAGTATTTCAAATTATTTATGTACTGAAGTAATATAAGTACATACAAATGTATATTTAAAAATTCACTTTTATATATATACAATGTACATCTTCAAAAGTGCAAAATTTGATTTTTGTTGTTTTTATTGAAAAATACAACGGTGAAATTTACATAGAACATTTTTAAACTATTTTAAAATAACTTAAAGCCCACCCAGAATTGTTTAAAATAATTAATCGCTTTTAGATTTAAAATGGCAATGGTAAATTTTTGACGAAATAAAAATTTGGTAAAAATAATCCAAATAACATAGCTAGTTATCATGAACAAATTTTTATCTTTCTTAATCACAACAAAATATTGGAACATCTTAAATATTTAATGAAAACAGCGAATCAAAGTAAATTGTTTAATCATATCGTTGACTTAATGCATATTATATATAACAATATGGACTACAATCAAAATACCAATAAATAAGAAAAATATACAAGCAAATTAACGAATGATTATTTAAATAAATTAAATAATTCATATTAAATCATTCATCTGAATTTGCTTTTAAAATCGACTTGAATTTACTACTTTTGATAGATCTCAACTGAATAAATTTATTATGGAAATAAGGATTTGTTGAATTTTAGTTAATGCAGAACACAGTAATACATTGTTTTTTTTTTTCAAAATATTATTTTATAATATTCCAAGCATACATAAGTATCTGTTGAATTCATAATTTCATCAAAACATTTTTCATATTATCTTTTACATGGATATAATAACCACCGGTATTTTACACTGTACCTATCATAATTAATTTGTTTTTTTAATAATATCATGGTAACACATGATTGTATCATTTTCATTCATGTTTAATATACGTACATTAAGCATTTTATGATGTTTATAATATTATCATTCAATGTGAAATTAAGTTTATATTAGAGTAAAAGCTAAAAACAAATGTTTGTTATTTTACAATATTATTTGGACCTCCAATACAGTTTTTTTTTTTTTTGCTCGGTAAATTACTTTGTTTTACTATTAAGTACCCACTGAGTAAACTTGCATTAAAATAATGAACATAGACAATGACTTCATTTAATTTTAAACTAATTTTTAACAAACTTTATTTACCAATACGTACAATTCAAATAGCAAATGCTGAATCACATACACTTTTTTCATTCAACAAAGGAAAAAATAACATTTTTTATGTTTATTAATAATTACAACCCTGTATTTTTTTACCATTATATAATACAGATAATAGTGCTATTATTTAGGGGTTAGAAGGTCTATCATACGCAAATCATCAATAACTTTCCTTTTAAATAGATTACTGATTTTTTTTTTTTATATTTAGCTAAATTATTTGTGTCGATGTTTTTACGACCACGTGAATTTTCAATCAAATCGTTAATTTGATTGATTTTCAACGAAATATTTGCTCACGACTTCAATCAGTGGTCCTTTCGTTGAAGGTAATTTTTAAGCAACTTTAGAAAGTTCAATTATGAAAATATATCTTAAATTTTATACTATACAACAATACATTATTTTCGTAGATTTTGTTGACGTATCGTCCAAAAACAAAAAACTTAAAATTGAAACCCTTACAAAAATAATTGTTATCAGATATTCTTAAATCGATCTCAAAACTGATCAACAATGTGTTTCTGTTCTAATATCTAATAACCCTTTTTAAAAATTCCTACCATCGACCTCAATAACAGTGTTGCAAAGAACTGCCACGCAGTTTTTAAAATTAATATAATATACCTTTTGCCACTGAACGCAATTCATTTTCTTTTACTTTTTTTCACATCATTATTAAATCAAACCTCGCTACGACAATGGACATTGATTGTATTGCTCGTTGTAAGGATTATCGTATGCAAAATATTTTGTTTACGTCAAAAATAAACATATTCGTGCATTACACCTATTTAATTTTCATGAAAAACAAATTTTGTTTAGTGCAAATTAATGACGAAAACAGGCAGTTCTTATGGTTTATAGATATTGATTAGAATCTGTGTTTATATGTGTCTAATTATTCTGTGAAAATTGTATTGCTGATCTTAAATTGTGGTTGAAACAATAAAAAGTTGCTGTAAAAGTGTACCATTCTCATTGGAACACATAATCGTTTGGAGCAGCAATTCTTAAACTGTTTTCCAAGAAATTCACTTCAGGGATCTTAAGATCTGAAGATTATTAATGTTGAAGAAGTGTTTACATTAAAGAAAAAAATCTTTGTGCTCGTATATTAAATAACAATATATGTCATATAAAACAGTCTAAATGTATATTTAGTCTAATCAAAGTAATTATTTTTAAAGTTTTAATATATATGTATAGAATTATTATTATTATTTTAATTTTTATTCTATCATATTTTTTGAATTAAATACTTTTAACATAATATTATTATATGATTATAATTAATTTACAAATAATCCTAAGAAAAGCTAAAAAGCTAAAAAAAAAGTAG